AAGAAAGAGAGAGGGCAGAATCACAGACTCACAGAATGTTAGACAGGAACACATCTTAAATCCCATCCCTTCTCTCACTTAGCTGCTGTCCTCAGAAGACGTGTCCCTCTGCTTGAGCAGCTGACACCAAGGCTCTAAAGAGAGGCTTTCCTTTAAACACAGATACTGGAGATGACAGTGGATCCTCCAGGGCAGGAGGGCTTCCCCTCTCAGTTTGGGATTTGGTGACTTTCTCGACGTTCAGGGACTGACCCCACATTTTCCAGATCCAAAGAATAAGTCTGACTCCATCTGCTGTGATTAAACATTACGCGATAGGGCTGGGAACCTGCCTGAGTATGGGGCTATCTTGCATTTTTTCATTTCTATATTTTTCTCTTAATATCTAAACATAAAACAAAAAAATGAATGCTTGTAATTCTAATAATAATGTCTGATGCTGTCTACTAAGTTTTAGCTTAACAGATCAAGTATCCTCCCTTTCAGAAAAGCTGACGGATTCACTACCACTTTAAAGCAGAGTCTGCTGTAAAGACTCTTAAAAGTTGTCATGCTCCTCGGTATGGTACATACCCAGCACAAAGTAATAATCTCATAACTGCCTTTATCAGAAAAGATCATTTTTTAAAAAAGCAAAATTACTTTATTAGTTCAATAATAATTTCAGAGCTTTTCAAGATAAGGAGCAGCATTTGGGAGGGGTTTCATTTCCTGTCTGCTACCTTATCAGTCAGAACTACATCTCAAATGTCTGGAGATTATGTATTTTTAACTGAACTCTAATAAAGTTTGTGCTGGGAAATCTGCACACCTGACTTGGTCTGTGATTATACGTTAGATACCAAACTTTTGCTCCCTTTTTAAAAAAAACATTACTATGCATATTTCATTAAAATTTTGCCTGTACCCTTGCTGAAGGAATTTGAAAGGTGATTTTGCTGTGGCTAAATAAATTAATGGATGTTAGTTGCTAATGAAGATGGTCTTTGGATTAGTTCATAAGAAATGGAACATCCAGGCTGGAAATTTTCTTGAAATACAGTGTTGAATAGGAAAAAAACTTAACAAGCAATTACAGTTACTTCTAACCAATAGAGTTTTAAATTATTTGTCTTTATAATGAGGAGTTGTTTCTAACTTTAAAAACTGGGGGAAGGGTTGTTACTCCAAGGAAAGCCTGTTGTAGTGACCAGATGTTACAGCGACACTCTGATATGTTAGAAACAAGTTTCCACTCTGATTTGCTTGCTATTATTTGTGATATAGCTGTTTTCTCCAAAAACGTTATTTATTCATGCATTGTGTTATCTGAGGTGGCTCGTTAGTCTCCCTAGTGCACTGTTTCATGTTCTGTTTTATCTTTGGAATTCAGTTGAAAATATCCCTGTGGTACAGCAGATAAAAAATCAGAATAACCCCACATACATTGCTGTACCTTCCTAGCCTTTCAGGACCTGATCTGTTGCTACAGGGTCTAAAGTGTAGCGGAAAAAATAACTGTACGTAGACTACAGTAGTACTAAATTTGGGAAAGAGATTGTGGAGTCAGTGTGGGTAGTTCTGTGAATGTACCAGCTTGGTTTGGTGTATTTTTTTAGTGATCCATCTAGAAGATAAATGGAATGTTTTAACAAGCACAAAGGAAGAAACTGAAAACCAGCAGAAAACTATATTCTCTTGTGTACTCAGATTTCTGGTTTTGCCTACAAATCTGTCCGTTCACTCTGCAGCTTCGCAAAAGATACAGCACATCTGAAAAAAAGATTGACGAGTGTCAGTGATGACAGTTTTCATGCAAAGTAAGACTAAGCAGGGTAAAGGATCTCTTAGTAAAGAGATTACAGACGGGGAGAAAGTGGAGAGGACTATTTCAAGAGGATATGTGTAATGTCAAGAATGATTCAGAGAAAGTAAAGTGATTTCATCATTTCTCTTAATACGAGCAGTAGGGTAGATTATGGAATTACCAAGTTTCTCTCAAGAAAAGGAAGTTAATTCAGCTGTGGAACTTTTTGCCATGGGATATTGTGGCATGGCCAAAAATATAAAAGGATTAGTCAAATTAAGGGATTCTCCTGGTGTCAAACAATGGTCCAGGTGCATCCTCCAGTCCAGGAAGTCCCTGACCTCCTGGTTTCTGGAAGCGAGGAGGGGATGCCAAGGAAGGCTAATTCTGTACACAGCTTGTTTTTCATGTTCTTAATCTCCTGTGGAGCAGCATGTAGAGAACTCAAAAGGGCAGTGCTAAAGGGCAAAGCCCACTCATGTGTCTTTTGTAACAGGTTATATATATATATATGTATATAAATATCTCACTTCTCAGCCTTTTGGCTAAAATCAAGTGAAGTATCTGTTCTTATCAGATAAATATCTGATACGACCTCGATGAGAGGACTTTATTTTTTGGGAGTTGGACTGAATGATCTCTAGAGGTGTCTTCCAACCCTTAACATTCTGTGAGTCCGTGATACTAGTTCTGAAACTTCTGGTTTTGAAAAAGGAATGGAGTGATGTGTTACATTGTCTGTCAGTAAGTACCATGCCTGGGGGTTTGGGAGCCATCACAAATGCTGTTCCTTAGGGGGCAGGCTATGCAGCTAATACCAGATTCTCCACTAATAACAGCTGCTGTGTCAGAATTTGTTGGTGTTTTACTTCTTGTAGCAGTCAGCAAGGAAAAACAAGTCGGGCATCTCACATATACTTTGAGAACACCTGTTAAAATAGGTGTGACATTTTTTGCACGACATTCTTAGCTTCAGATTTAAGGAAATCAACTTCAACACTGAAAGCGGTACTTGTCACACACTAAGACTTGTTTTCTGAGACTGCCTAAATGGTGCTGCACCCTCTGTAAATTGTCATTTACAGCACCAGTTTAGGAGGTATTACTACTAAAAATCTGATGTCAGCAACTGGGTTTTTTTCCCAAGAACAAACAAAACAATGGTATAGCAGCTCAGAAGGACTTAAGAACCTGGAAGAAGCTTATAGATGTGTGAAGGAGATGAGAAGTGGGAGAGAGCAATGAGAAATCTTAGTAGTTCAGGGTAATTTCTTTTTTTACTTTTTTTTAAAATCTTTTCAGAAGGTATCTTCCATGGTCTTGTAGGAGTGGTAGAATGGAGAATCTCATTTCTCAGAGTTTTTTGATTTGCATGGATTCTATGCCATTTCACAGGATAGGGTTAAGACATTTTATCCTTCTGGAAAATATTAAATTGCAAGCTTTGTACTTCAGAAGAATAGCTTGACTTCAGTGAAAGAGAAAGTATGAGACAGATTGCTGAGCTTATAGTGCCTTTAATAAATGGACAGTTGATAAGTAGAAACAATACAAAAGAACGGGAAGTTCTCATCTATCAGAGCTCGTAGCACAACAGGAAATTGCCCACCATAAACCATTAGAGAAGGTATTTGTTTTTTGTGAACTTACTGTCACTCTAGACAAACAAATCACAGGTGGGCTTCTTTACAATTACATGTACAATAACCAGGATTATATATTACATTTGTGTTTATGTAGTCTTTGAGGATCAGCACATTTATTTCATGTAAGCAGACAAGGAAAACGTTCTAAGCAGCATTTCAAATATTTTAGTGGAATAAAGTTTATTCTGTAAATAAAATTGCAGAATCTGTTTTGCCTTTTACTGAGCCTTCGCGTTCTGGCATAGTGCAGGGGAGATTCCTTACTGTTTCAGTACCTGTCTAGAAATCCTGTCTAAGAGTGTCTCTAAAGGAATCCTTCAGTGATGACTCTTAATATGTCAAGCATAGGACCATCTTCCCTGGAGTCAGGAGGAAGTCTGGGTCTTCTCTGTAATCCTGGTGTGTGTTCCACTGTCAATTTAAAATATTTATTTATATTAAGCAATTTATACTGGTTCATTTATAGCAATTTTTTAGAAGAAAGCAGATGGCACAAAAATCAGGTACCATGTTTTAAACATATCTCAACATCAGCTTATCAAACCTGGAAGCAACAGGTAAATACTAGATGAATGAAGCCCAGATTCTTGTAGATTTTTTTAAACTAGACAATCCACTATGTACTTCCCCCAGTCAACCAGCCAAACAGCTACATAAAATAAATAAGAGACTCTATCCAAACATGGTGTTAATTCTGTTTGATTTCAGAAGGTGCTAGTCCCCTCGGCCAAGCTCCCTGCTACTTGGTTGCCATATTTTATTAAGACCCTATTACACAATCTCCTTGTCTTTAAAATGTGATACGGAGCACTTGTTAGTCAAAGTTTCAGAACTTGAGAAGCTGCCAAAATGGAAGAGGAATTTTCCTTCCTATTTCTGCTTTTTAAGATCAAGATTTAATTAAATAAACAAAGATATGAGTTCTGTCATCTTTAGTGATTCTGTTTAATAAACAGTATTATCTGTTGGTTGATAAAAGATAGATATGCAGTTTAGTTCAACACTAATTAAAAGACAAAGCAAAGTAAAATGCAAAGCTTTTTTAGAAAGACAGTATGATTAGAACACATTTTTTCAGTAGTAGATACTGTGGTTTTAAGGGAAGATTAGTATTCCTGTTTCCTGGCGTATTGATCTCGAGGTGTGTTTTCTACCAATTTTTTGGCAGTGGTTGGAGAAGGGTATTGCAACTAAACCATTTTCACAGACCTTCTAGTGTCTGAGCATTTATTGGCCAGAGCTCACTTCTTTTGTGAAATGGCATGAAATTTTGTGCAGCTTTTGAGGTACACACATCGTTGAAATAGTGTTCTTAAACTCGTCACCATTTTCATAAAATATGTAAATACGTATGTATGTTGAGGTAGGGAAATGCTTTGCTCATGGAAAAGGCTGTATGCTTGGGGTAACTTTTAGCTTTTCTTACTTACAGAAAAATGTTCTTGAAGTGAGAGACGGACTTATGTAATGGAACCATCATATAGTTGTTCGTTGAATGGTAGGAAAAGAATACAAGCTGTACCAATGTAATTAATTTCATTTCTGCGCTGTTTCCTTCTTATAGCCGTCTGTTGGTGAAAGTCTTCAGAAAGAAGCATTGAAAAAACAAGCAATGAAACAGGTAAGATGCGGTGGAGGCTCTTCATGCCCTGACAGATGAAGAAACTACTGCATCCATTCCCTTTTATTAAATAATTGCAAAAACGTAATTGTGCAACTGCAGAGTTAGATTTGTCATTTAAAAAAAATCACTTAATGAAGCACAAGGTTTTGTTTAGAACTTGACTTGAAATTCTTAGAGACTTTGCACAGGCAAAGGTTTGCTTCACTTTTCAGGGCAAGATGGTTCATTTTGTAATTATTCTATCTGTAATCAGAGTAGCTGAAGAACTGCTCCATGAAAGCTGCATGAGTGGGGTTTAACACAGAGCTTGGCATTAATGAAAACACAGTAAAATTTCTGTTTACTCAATGCCAGCAATGTTTTTTTGTGGCATAGAAGGTGTTGAAGTTTTTAGCATTTCTCAGTTTGTTTTGTTTGTAGAATGTAATGTTACAAAGTATCGCTTTTAAAAACTACTTAAGTATATGCCAACAGTGAGCCTTTTTCTGTAATCAAGAAATAAATTGTACAGAGGAACCAGGAAGTTTGCATTTTAAAAGTTGCAGACCAATAAAAGACATATCTAGAAGGAAAAGATATTTATGCATCATACATTTAGCACGTTGCTGCTTTTAGTGGAGGTAATATGTGCTTAAGAGAAACTTGTGTGGTTGCTCTTCTGCACTCTTCTGCTGTCAGGAGATCTGATCTAAGGGCTCCTCTAGTAATTGTTTTTTTCTGATGAGGCTTTTAAATATTGAATGGTTTCACAGTTTCTACTTCCAGTCTGACTGTAGAACTAGACTAGAACTGCAAAATACGAAATCATATCCTGATTTATATTAGTACATATGTTTGAGGGAAGAGGACAGACTATAGATGATAACTGACAGTTAGTGAAAGTTATTGAAATGTTGTTAACTGTTTATGAAAAAATGAATTACGTTATCTGATGGAACAGTTTGCTCGTAAGCAGATTCCAGTATTGCTTTGACTGTTGTGCTTTGCTTCCTATGTTTCCTATAACTGCAAATCTTGATAATGATTTGGTTTTTTGCCTTCTCACTCCTGGTAGACAGTTCAAGGACTGTATAGGTCAAACCGGTTTTAATTTACACTCAGTGTTCTAATGAATGTAGGTTTGTGCTGTAGATCTCTTTAAATTACAATGTAGGAATGAAATGTTTGAAAAGAGTTACAAAAAAATTAAGCACGATTTTTTCTCTTCTCTCTCCTTTTTTTTTCTTTTAGACTAAACTGGAGATTCAGAAGGCTTTAGAGGAAGATGCTACAGTGTACGAATATGACAGTATTTATGATGAAATGCAGCAGAAGAAGAAAGAAAGTAATGCCAGTCTGTTATCCGGAAAAGATGACAAAAAGGTCAATACCTGAAAATGTATGCTCTCTGACTTACCTCTGTATGCTTGGAATAACTATGATTTATTAACCTTTAAGCGTTGCCAACTGCATTTTCTCATGTGGCATGCAAGTTTTGTGCTCAAATCCTGGTGCTCTTAAGGTAGTAATTTGCAGGAATTTTGGCCAAACTGTTAGCTTGTCACTTACTTCTGAGTCTTGATCCAGTGGTACTCTGGAGAGTGGGAGACTATAAGTTTCCCACCCAATTTATCCTGTACCTGTAGCGTATCTTTCTGTGTATTTCTGAAGAAAACGTTACAGCAGGATAATAGGATTAGAGGCAGTGCTCCCTGCAACAATGCAGCTTCTGACAATAAAGACTTTTCTGTTGTTAAGCCAATGGCCATAAGTCGTCCCTCCTCACTCACTAGTGTGCTCACGGGAGGACTGTCAGAAGGCTGAAGTAATTAACTTTCATTGGGGATCTTTGAGCCAGTTTCTACCGCCCAGTCCTTTGTTTCAAAGCATTGCTGAATTAGCCTGACAAGCGATGTTTTAATTGTTCCTTACTCTACTTCTTTTGAAAGCTCCTGTTGTGTTACATGGACATAAAAGGAAGCTTCCTACTCCTTTATAACATTAGAAAAGCAAGACTATTACGAGATAGAAGACAGGTGTGAGAACTCAGAAAACACCTAATTTCACTCAGAGTAAAAATCATCCGGGCCAAAGCTATGCTGAATGCTGTGATTGACTATAGCAACCTCTTTTGTTCCTGGGACACATGCCACATTAGCCATCTAAAAGAAGGACAGTTTATTTCGGATAGCTATCAAACAACGTGAAAATAGAGTAGACTAGCTTCTGTCAATTTTCTTCCCTTACCAACTTTCTTCAACATCTCCATCAATCCCAGTTTGTGGTTTTTTTAGCCACCTCAATTACCTCTCAGTATGGTGCCTTTTTCCCCTCCTTTTTTAGCCCAGATACATCCACAATATCGTCAAAGCAGCTGAAATTAGAAAAAAGGAGCAAGAAAGAAGAATGGAAAGAAAAATCCAGAAAGAGCGTGAAATGGAAGGAGGAGAGTTTGATCACAAAGAGGCTTTTGTGACTTCAGCCTATAAGAAGAAGCTGCAAGAAAGGGCTGAGGAGGAGGAAAGAGAAAGAAGAGAGGCAGCTCTTGAGGGTGAGATTCACACTGAAATAATTTGCCTTAAAAAGCAACACGACCTTGTACATGATGCACATTGTCATCTGGCCTTTTCTGTGAGATTTCAGATAGTTAAAATGAAAAAAGAGCAGGTAGCAGATACTGAATCAGATCCCACTTGGTTATTTTCCTTGGTTATTTCCGTTTTGCTAAAGGAACAGAGGAAGCTCCTCTGTTCATGTGTCAGTACTATTTGGATTGCAACATTTAATTTTTGAGGAAGGGTCACTTTTTGCAGGAAGACTCACAAGCCTGGGTGCAACAAGGCTTACACTCCTTACTGTACAGGTTCTGTACAGTGTCCCAGGAACAAGTGTAAAGAACAAGGTATAGGATCGTAAGATAAAACAGGTTGGAGTGGACCTCTGAGGGTCATTTGTTCCAGCCTCTTGCTCAAAGTGTGGTCTGTTGTGAGGTCAAATCAGGTTGCTCTGAGCTTTTTTCTGCTCTGGGCTTGAAAACCTCGAGGATAGAGATTGCAATCGTGGCGGTGTCTACAAATTGTGAGTTGTGTCTGGTGAGTGTTTGTGGCACAGTAAATCCAACCTTACTTTCTTTGTCCTAGCATACCTGGATGTGACCAAACAGAAGGATCTCAGTGGATTTTACAGACATCTTTTAAACCAGCGGGTAGGGGAAGAAGAGATGCCTAAATGCAGCTTCCGTGAAGCCAGGTAGGATGCAGTTCCAGAAGGTTTTCAGATATAAACCAGCTTTTGCCTGTTTATGATTGCAGACTCACTGAAACACTGTAAGAATTAGGCAGTACTGAAACACTGGCAGGGTAAGGTGATGACTTCATGCAGGTGAAGAGCTGAATTATTTGGAAAATGCCCAACGATCATTGGTGGTATAGGCTGTAAGACAAACAAGCAGGAGGGGGGATGCATTTAAAAAGTATCAAGAGGACAGTTATACTTGTTATGGTGGTATAGGCTGTAAGACAAACAAGCAGGACAGTTATACTTGTTACACTGCTTGGTATTGTTCTAACCTATATTTACTTTGGTTTACATAATATTTGGCAATCTATAGTAAGTTATGTATTTTGAATCACGAGGGAGACAGAGGTAAAATAATGAGCACAGAGGTAAGTCATAGGAAACGATGTTGTGATAGGAATTTCCTGAAAAGAATGTGAGTTTCTGGCTTTGTCCTTATTCTACATGTATGGGTTCATAAAAAATAAGTTAACTGAGTGTTGATGCTGTGGTAAAAGGAAATTTATCAAATACATAGGAGACCCAGTGGGAATACTTTAAAATCTTAATATATGCACATTATAAAGCAATGAGATGTGGCTGAACTATTTATGTAGTTGGGGAAATTCTGCCCTGTGGATAAATATAGTGAAGGGGACATGTTTCTTATGTGTAACAACGGATCATTTAAAAGAGTTAATTCAGGTTAAGCATCGCTTGAGTTGGGCCTTAAACATGGCTGTCACTAGTTAAATGCCTGCAATCACAAAGAAAAGGCAGCTTTCATCAGGAGATCTTCTAGATCTGAAACGAGTATTAGAGAGTAAATTCTTGGCTTAAATGAAGAATTTGCTGACAGTGAAGTTACTTGGAAATAAGGGGATTCTGGATTATGTGTTTAGGATAAGGACATGCCACTTCATTGGAAATAAATAGAGAAAAGCAGCGTAAAAGAAATAGGAAATAAGGATTACTGACTGGAAGAAAAGCAGAACAGCTTCCTGAATGTAAGCAGAAAATGGGAAATTTGAGGCCACAGTGTCATTTGGGATTTCAAGTATCAGTATACCCATATCTTTGGAAAAACATCCTATCTCAGGTCTTCACCAAATGGAAAATAACCTGCTTGGTTTCAGTTGTGCACCACTGAGGTGGTTAAAAGAATTTTGCACTTCATGGTTTCTTCTTTTTATTGACGAAATCAATAAAAAGTTCCTCAGTTGCATTTCTTTGTAAAAACAGCAGCAGTAGTTGTGAGCCCGCGTGGCCATTTGCTTTAATGTTCTTTGAGAGCGTCTTCAGGATGATGTAGTTTTGTGTTGTGTAGAGATCATCTGAAATGATGATTTCTTAACCTTGCAAATTAAGGAAATGTTCCTTCTGTGATTTGTATGTATAATGAATGTAGGGGAAAACAAGTAGCACTGTAGAGCGTGCTCACAGCAAGGCTTTCAGATTAGCTCAGGTGTAGTGCAACAGGATCAAGAGAGAAGACAGCTCAATTTTGCGGTCTCTAAATTAATCCACTTTGACTTGTTATTTTAATTAATTAGATTACTAAATAAATTATCAAACTTCTCAGCGTAATTGTTAGTCATTGTTCATGGACTAACCATGCTTTCAAGCACGCATCAGACATGATTCAGTCTAACTAGATGTGCCGAGTCGTAAGAGTTTACTGCAGACTGTTGCTGTAGCTGTGTGATTAGAAAGAGGAGATATTGCTCGTATAAGTGAACATGTATTTCCTTACCAGTAAAGAAGAACCATAACATTTCTGTCTGCTGCCCAGATTGGTCCTCCATGGATCAGATTTTTGTGTTTAAGAATGTATGAGTTGTTAAAAGATACCGATTTCTACCTAGCCACAAGAGTGAGATCTTCAGAAATACTGGATTAAAAAAAATCTACAACTACTACTACTATTACTACTACTACTACTACTATTAGAAGCTACGTTCCTACCTCTGTCAACAAAACCTACTATCTGCTGCTTCTCTGGATTTGACATGAATAAACATGTAGGAAAGAATGTGTAGCTTGCCAAAAAGCTCACATAAGAATACAAATCAGTGTCTTCTCCTTACGTGGACGCTACCGATACTTAACCAGAGCCATCCTTTTAGGTAAATTCATCAGGTTGCATTGTCCAGTGAAGCAGATACAGGTACTTAATAGAAATCCTTTACGCTGGATTCCTGGAACCTGAGGCACAGAGGGATTTGCTTTTATTACACTTTGCAGCATGTTTTGCTTAAGTCCTCACCAGAAGTCAGTTTGCAGAGAAGTCTGAGATTTCAGGCTGTGTAATGTTGTTTTTTCTTTTTTAACATAAAAAATACAGGATAAAGGAAGAAAAATCTGACAGTTGTTACGATGAATCCAACCAAAGGAACAAATGCCCATACAAAGGAGAAAAACTGAAGCCCTCTGCTAAGAAAGAGAATAATCCAGACGCTGATACTGACATAGGAACTGATAGTAGTGATGATGATAAGAGATATAAAAATAGTAAAGTAAATTTGAAAAAGAAGAAAAGGAGAAAGAGCTCTGTGAGCAGTGACGAGGAGGCTAAACATCACAAGAGCCAGAGACACTCCAGGTCACCGAGCTCATCCAGTGTGGAGGAAGAGCCACGCGCAAAAGCCCCAACAAATCATCTTGGGAAGAGAGGAGAGAGCCAGCCAAGCAGAAGGGGAAATAATGAACAATACAGGGAAAAAGACTATGAGAGGAGTAGGACCCATGAAAAGGATCACCAAAGGGAAAAGGAAGAGCATCATAGATACGGAGATCACGCTAACAAAGATAACTACAGAAGGAGGGAAGAGCAAGATGATAAACAAAAGGGGAAGGAAAGAAAAGAGAGGGAGGAGCACAGCAGAGACTGGAGGAAGGGAAAGGAGAGAGAAGAGAAGGGCTCCGAAAGGGATCGAGAGAAAGAAAGAATGAGAAATGGTAAAGATAGATATAATGACAGAGAGAGGGAGAGAGGAGAGAAATACAGAGAAAAGGAAGATCATGGGAAGGAGAGGAGAGAGAAATATGGTAGTGATGAAAAAAAATACCGAGAGAGGAGGGAAGGTACTCCTGAGTCTTTAGAAAAAGACGGAGAGCTGGATCTGGGAAAGGAGAGAAAGGGAAAAGAGAAAGAGGCGGATGAGAAGGGAAGATCCAGCTCTGGAATTTCATCTGTGCAGAAACGTAAAGGTGGAGAAGAAGGGGAGAAAGAACAAGCACAGAAACCATCTGAGGGCATGAGCAAATTTGCCAAACGGAGCAATGAAGAGACAGTGATGTCAGCCAGGGACCGCTATTTGGCGAGGCAGATGGCACGTGTCAGCAGTAAATCTTACATTGAGAAGGAAGAAGATTAATCTCCTGTGATGGACAAAACCACTTGGTCTGTCAGCAAAGAGGAAAAGCTGCTGCTGCATGGACTCTTGTACAGAAGTAGAAGTGTATCCTAGTTATTTATTCCTGGCTTTCAGTTAAGAAATTGCGTGTGCCATAGTAGAAGAACAACTTTTGAAATGGATTAATGGGTTCCTTCATACACACCTTTAGTCTGTTTATACTTTGAAATATTAAATCTGGCTGTCTCTGTTCACCCTGACCTTCAGCACCCTGTCCTTCTTACCTGGAGATTTGGGACAGACGTAGAAGTGTTAAACAACGTAAGGTGAGACTACCTCCTCCTGGGGCCCCTACTCCCTTCACCAACTGGAACAAATTGCTCTGCTGAGTCAAAGGTGTTCTCAGCCCTTTGCGGCAGTCATCGTTGCCCACTGATGCTCTCAAAACTGAGAAGCAGAGCTCTAAAAGCAGGGCAAAAAAGCAAGAAAAACGGCCTGAATAATAATCCAGGAGATTTCTGTACGTAGCCTGGTATTTTGAAAGCTAAATGTATATTGATGTATGAATTTTTGTATTTATGTGTGGGCTTTGGTTTTGGGGACCCAACGTTCATAAACAATTAAAGTCTGAAATATGTACTGGATCTGATGTGAGGGGGTTTTTAGTGCTTGTGTTATTTTACTGCATCATCTTTGGTGTGAAATGAGGTGTATGAGCCTTTCATGTGTTGTGGTCATATCTGCTTGTTCTGCTGGAGGTAATATTTTAGATTTGTCCATGTGCTCAAAGGTTCAGAATCAAGAACAAAGTTACCTCCAAACTATAACTTGGTAGGTAGGATTCTAAAAGCGGTCATAACTTTTAAAATACTTTTTTTTTTTCACTTTTCACAATGGTTTCTTTCATTTTGTTCGGTAGTAAATGGATCACTTTTATGCTACCATAAGGTGAATTAATATAAAAGAAAGGATTTTGAGATTGGTATTTCTCTTGATGCTTTGTTCAGCAGACTTCATTTTATTCACATTTTCTCTCATGACTAAGTGCCAAGCCTGCCAGTTTAGAAAGACCTGAATGAATTTTATAAGTCAGCTAATCAAGTAGCTAAGCAATTAAGTGTGGATCAGTTTGGTTTTGCTGTTCTCTCTAAACAAATGTGATGTGCACTGGTTCTGTTGGAATAGAAGGAAAGTGTATTTAGCAGTGGGCCAAGGTTCAACCACTGGAGGAAATCCTCTTGCTTTTTGTCAGGCACTTTGCTGGTAAACTGGGCTAGGTGTTCTGCTTTTTCTTGGAATTGAGTTTTATCTTTGTTCTTCTCATAAGAGAAAGACACAGGGGACATCCACAGATGGATTATGAATATTAAATTTATTACAATAACAGTTTACAGTACAAGGCACATACTGATGACTTACAATCAGCTTGCAACACTTGTAACTAAACAGCCGCATAAATTAATACAGGTGCGTCATGTACAAGTGGGAGGGAATACTTTGTTCTGTACAGCCAAAGCCTCAGCTCAATTCGTTTTGCTTAGAAGACGAACATGGTCCTAATTCACCAGTTTCAGAACTTCCTTTTCACTGTTCAGGATAGAAGGCAGGATATACTCGTGCGATAGGCAAGCTGGAGGTGAGTGAAGAGAAGGAATTTGTTTGCCTCAGAACACTTCTCGCTGCCGTGCCGCCCATTTGGTATCAATAGAACTAGGTTTTGTACAAAAACAGTGTTTAATGTACAGCTACTATTGGTGACTCCAAATGTTTTCAGATGGATATGTAAAAGGAAGGAAAAGAATCAGTAATAAAAATAAATGAAATTAATTTCTTATATTTCAACCACTCAGCTAAATAGACTAGAAAATGAATTTATCACAAGAAGATTTAGAAAACTTCAAACCAGTATATCATGTAACAAAAAAATGATCAAGACTAAACTGCCTTGCAAGTTCACCTTTTATAGAATGAAAACATGGGTGGATTTTATATTATATCAGGAAAAGCCTTTTCAATCCACTTCTGGAGGGCCTCCTTGCCCGCTGAGCCCATAATGACCTCAGACTGGATTATCCTAGCAAAAAGAAAGCAAAGATCTGACATCACAAATGATCTTTTGGACTGTCTCTCTCTAAAAATATTTTTCCTGTGACTTTGCTTTTTGTATCTCCAAATAATTTTTAAAACTTTTCATCCTCTGTCAGTACATCTGTACTGAGAGCGCGTTCTTCTCATTTTTCAACTGAGAAATTCAGGCTGAGATACTCTGCCCTGTTCTACACTGTGGCAGTTGCAGGGCTCCTATAATTATTAGGGCTTCATGGCTGACTTAATCCACTAGAAAACAGTGGCTTTTTGGGGGAAGTTGCTCAGCTTTCTGTGCTGAAACCACCCAGAGAGATGACGTCTGCCATATGCTAGTGCCTTAAAAAATACTAATTAAAGATGCATCTTTCACCAGTTCAAATGCTGTTATAATAGTATTATACGCTAAATAGCAGTGATTCCTGCAATTATTACTCTGCAAACTATTTCATTAGAACTAAAGTTTCCATTTTCAGTTTGTTTGCAAGGGCTGAAACTTTGGCTTTGATGCAGATAATGCTCATCACATTTAACTCAACCATTTCTTTCCCCTCCTTCACCCTTCCTAATAAAAGGCAGCAGAATGTATCTTGAAAGAGGCTTTTGCAAATGAGTGTATGGAAATAACCAAAAATTGGAATGGTAAGTTTTGGAGGGGTACCAGAGGGGTGGTTTGTTTGTTTCTTTTAATGAACCGACCAAGTTTGGCAAGAAACTCCATTTGTAAGATTTATTTAAATACTTACCCGTTTGGGGGGAAAAATACGTAGCATTAGTGGAACACCAGTCTTAAGACTGCAGAAGCTGGGTTGGGTTTTCTCCTTTGTTTCCCACACTTGATACTGGATACAGACGAGTACCTCGTTCATCCTACACGGGCATTTCGTATTATTTTTTCAATTAATGAATTCATAACAGAAAAATATTTTTTAAAAAGTGGTAATTTTCTGATTGATATCTTAATAACTAAGTGGCTTTCCAGCATTAAAATAATTCCCAGAATGTTCCTTATTTCCTCACAATGAAGCCAGTTTTGGAAGTAGTTTTCAAATATAGTTAAGGGCTAAGCTGCAAAACTGTTTCTCAGGAGTAACTGTCTAGTAACATTTGTTACGTTTTTTCTAGTGGCAACGAAAGAACGTATTTCCTTTTAAAAAACAGTTAGGAGTCTTCTGTTTGTATTTCCAAAAGAGCAGTCCTTGTCCCTTTAAGTTATTTCCTTACTGGAAGATGGGCTTGAGACTTAAACTGAAGTGAGTGCAAGTTAATAGCTGAAGTGCAAGAGCCTTCCCCGAGATGTCTGCACGTCTGCGGGAGAAGAACCTTGGTGGAAGCGATGAAAATGTTTGCAAAAGGCAAACCCAGCATCCCTGCTTTACCCTAACACAGTCCTTTGTACTGATGGAAACTCTTCAGTAGGCTTCTCGATGCCTGCTGCTATGAATGCCTCTATAACCTTGCCAGTTTTAGCAGTACATACCTAAGTAGACTACGAGATGTCAAAAAGACTTTTTTTCTCTCTTTTATTTTATTTGTCTTAGGATCAGTGGTTTTCATATAAACGATCCCTACTTAGGTTTATCTAAACTTGTGTCACTGCAGCAGCAGTATCGCCCACCTCCTTGGCAACTGCCGGCAGCCTGAAGGGCTGTTACGTTTGGCGAGTGCATATAATAGAGGTTGGTATGTGCATGAAAGTTAGTTTGCATATCAGTGCCTTGAAAATGAATATAAATAATTCTGATGAGTATCCTGTTCACTTACAGGCTCGAGCATATTTCAGATGTGAAATTAAGTCATAAAAAAACACCCGAAGCAGATCTTTAAGTTTCTACATTTTGTAATGGGAACTGAAAAAAATTCACTGTTGGTCTGTAGTTTCTTTGGTGGGTTAGGTTTGTCAGGACAATGATTTTGTGAACATTTAGGTTAGTTAGGAAAACTAGGTGTTAGCAGCTTACGTACTTGTTAAGTAACCCACGATGAGTTCCTGTGGCTTGACTGGGTCTAAACAAAGTGAAGGCTACAAAAAGATGCTTTTGCTATATTTGTTACGCAAGAAATAACTGGAATTGCTGCCATCTACAAAGCACAGAAAATGAAAAGGGGGCTAATGGTGATGTGCTGATGGGTGCAGAGCTGTATATAGTGCTGCCCAGGATTGTGTCCTCTTCCTCTCTCTACTCCACTACAAACCTAGGGGAATTTACTTTTTTTTTCCCTAGTTCAGAAACCCCTGTGTTACTTGAGTAATATATGGCTATCAGAAATATTTTTTTTATTTTTCAATGTAGTTTAAGCAATTAGAACCTCAGAAGCAAATACGACATTGCCCAGGACGAATAATCACATTGAGGAAGGCAGAGGAGTGTGGCCACGATGGGATTCTACACCTAATCTCCTCCCCGCTGCTACTCGTCCCGCAGCGGCTTACGCAGTCACACACACTCTCCAGCAGCCCCAGTGCCGGCGCATGGAGTAGTGGTATTCTCACGCACACAGACATCCTCGTGTTTCCAGAATGAATTACTTCTCAGTTCAGTCTGGTTAGAAGGGCACAGTAGTTTCCACTGAATTGCTTGGGAAATGTGCTGGAGGCACCGTGTCTCCAAATGCCCCTTGTCAGTGACACAGCCTCCACAGAGAACGCCTCCGTCGTTGTCTCAGCTGGAAATGTGGTTCTTTGGGGGGAGAGCATGGGGAAAATTACATTTTATGCTCCCTCTTTCTCCCCTCAGAAAAGAGTTTTAGCTTATACTGCATTCATGCGGATGTCTCCGAAAGGAATTTCTGTAGCTGTTTCTGGAGTAATGCTTTTCAGAATACGCTGTTGGAAAGAAATTGATAGTAGAAATTGATTCATTTTAGCGGTAGTACATAACATGACATTTGGATAGAGATTTATTATAAAAATGGGACTTCAGGCTGAGTTACGC